TTTTATGTTTAGTATAAAATTTTATAAGGGTTTTACATTAATTGTTAATATGTTCATAATTATTTCTTCTGTATTGTTTGGGTATTTCATTGAGCCCTGGCTCATTTTGCAATGGATGTACTGCAGGCAAGGGGAAGGAGCTAGTGAAGTAATAGTCAGCAGTTGACTACTCTTTTGTGTACATACAAATTTTGGGTGTACAAAGAGATTTGAAAAGAGATGATTGATAGCAGTATAGACTTTTTGGTATGTAAGAAAATTTTTAAGAGTTTTAGTAAAGCTCTGTATTTCAATTGATATGTGCATTTTATTTTAAGTAAACTATATATGCTTCCTGTTAAAAAAAAAAAATCTTGATGTGTTATGATTAGTTATGTTAGGATAGTTTGAACAGACTACTTTTTACTTATCTAATTCTGATAGCAGAGTTCCAGAATGGGATTTATTAAGAAGAATGTCTATTCACATTTTCCTTCTCTGTCATGCTGTAGTTTGACTGTGGGGGGTGGGTTAAAATGGGGTGTGACAATAAGATTGGAGATTGAAGAACAGGTGATTATAGAAATGAATAAGCTTATAGATACATACTTCATTCGAGAAGAAAAATATACTAATTGGATCGCCCATATCATCCCAGTCAAGAAGAATAATGGTTAGATCCTTATTTGTATTGACTTCAGGACCTCAATAAAGCGTGTCTAAAAGACTATTTTTCGCTTCGTGTCAGAATGTTAGTTGACAGTACTTCTAACTACGATATGCTCTCCTTTACGTATAGATCGTTGAGATATAACTAGATCAAGATAGCGTTTAAAGATGAAAAACACGCATCGTTCAAAACACCCATCAGCATATTATGTTGCCCGGTCATGCCCTTCGGCCTAAACAATGTAGTGCCACCTATCAGCGAGCGATGACGTGCATTTTTTATGAATTAATATATCAAAAGGTCGAGTGTTATATAGATGACCTCATCATCAAAAGCATTGATCCAGACAAATAGAATTAAAAATCAAAAGGAGAACACTAGGACCAGAAGAACTTTTCTCAATTCAATATTTAACATGCCAACATCAAACAAACCTTAAAACAAACGGAAGTTAGACAATAAACAACAACAACAACAACAAGCCTTTGTCCCACTACGCGGGGTCAGCCACATGAATCCTTTTTTGCCATTGTGTCCGGTTAAAAGTCAAATTTTCATTTAAATTTAATAAAGAAAGATCATTTCTAATATTATCTAAGCAAGTCTTTTTAGGTCTACTTCTACCTTTCTTAACATAAATCAAATCCAATACCTCAACTTTCCTAATCGGGTCATCGGAAGGCCTCCATTTAATGTGACCAAACCATCTAAGCCGACTCTCTCTAATCTTATCTTCCATTGGAGCTACTCCAACCTTTTCACGTATATGCTCATTTCGTATCCTATCTCTAAAGGTCAAGCCACTCATCCACCTAAGCATCCTCATCTCTGCAACCTTAACTTAGTATTATGCTTCTCTTTTAATGGCCAACATTCAGCACCATAAAGCATTACAGGTCTCATCACCATATTATAGAATTTTCCCTTAAGTTTGAGGGGGACCTTTCTATCACACAATAAACCCGATGCATTCCTCCACTTCAACCATCCAACTTGAATTCTGCTGATAATATCCCTATCAATTTCAAAATCACTCTTAACAATAGATCCAAGAGTCTATTGCTACTAAAATTACACTCCATATATTCAGTTTTAGATCTACTCAAGCGAAAATCTTTAGACTCTAAAGTTGACCTCCATAATTCAAGTTTACCTTCAACTCCCTCTCTAGTATTATCAACAAGAAGAATATCATCAGCAAAAAGCATAACCCAAGGTACATCCTCTTGCAAATGTCTAGTGAGAACACCCATGACTAAAGCAAAAAGATATGGACTTAAGGCTGATCCTTGATGTAATCCAACCGAAATAGGAAAATACTTGGTCAAACCACCTTGTGTTTGAACACAAGTAATAGCTCCTGCATACATATCTTTAATGATTTGAATATAAGCATTATTAACTCCTTTCTTTTCAAGAACTCTCCATGAATGAAAAAATAAAAATAAAACAAAATACCCTCAATACAACCAACTAGTGGTCACCTCATATGCATCGAAATAGTAGATAAGATGATAAGTGCTTAAAGACATGCAAACCAAAGGTCCACCACATTAACTTTGGGCCAACATCCACCACAAGACTCCTCTGGCAAATGCTACCAAACCAGCAAACAATACTTTCAAGAGCTTGAGAAGAAAAATACAAGTGGGGGGAAACTTGTGGAGAGAAGAATTAGGTAAGAAGTCCGAGACGAAACAAAGTGAGGAGAAGAGAAAATGGATAAAGCTCGCAAGCTATCTAAGAAGAAAACCCTCAGGTTTAAGTAATTTTCACTCACCAAAATCAGCTCTCAAATGTCACAAAACAGCCACAATATATAGGGAAAGAGAGGGAGCTAAACAGCCCAAACAGTTGGCCAACTGAACAAATCAGAAAAGGGGAGGCAAAAGGCCAACAGGCAGCCGACTGGAGCAGCACACGAAGGAGCAGCGGAACACAGCCACTGAACGGACAGCGCCAGGCGAAAAGGAGTTAGGCAAGCAGAGGAAATGAAGGGCCAAAACAGGGGGGAATGAACCCGGCCAGCAGCCATAATGAGCTGAAAAAGGCAACAAAACTCAACAGCTAACATTACTAGGCAGCAAAACCTGAAACAACCCAACCTAAGGAGCTTGGGTCAAATCAAAATCAACCCACAAGTCATGGCACCAAAGAAGCTAGCACACCAAAGGCAAGACATGTCAAAGAGCACAACCTACACATGATCATTGGTTATCTTCCATTATAGGGTAGAAAAAAAAAGCACAAAAAAATAAAATTCAAATTACAAAATAATTCAAAAATAAAAAAAAATGAAATTTGCATGCATCAAGTATAGACCAGAAAGACCACCTAAAAGATCTGAGAACCCTATTTAAGAGGATAGAAAAGTTCGATATGAAGATGAATTCCCTCAAATGTGTTTTCAGGGTCTCCTCGGGGAAATTTCTCGAATACGTTATTTGTCATCGAGGCATCGAAATTGACCCCAATAAGATTAAGGAGCACATGGATAAGCCGCCACTAAAGAAGCTCTGTCAACTTCACTCCTTGCAATGATAGTTGGCTTTTATTCGGCGATTCATATTGAATCTGTCAGGTAGGTATCAATCATTATCAAAGTTGATGAAGAAAGACAACTGCTTCAAATGGGACAGAATGTCAAGATGCCTTTGCTAGTATCAAAAGATATTTAATAGATCTTTAGGTGGACCAGTCTTGTCTATATAAGACTCCAAGTATGGCACCTTGAACATAGGAGGTGGCCTAACCTAAGAAATCTCTCTTGAGAAAGCATTGGCAAGCTCGGGCTCGACCCTCCTAGCCTATGAAGAATAGTTCAGATTATCCTACATAGGTGTGGGAAGTCAATGCTCGATTACTCGATCTCTTACGGTGAACTGCCAAGTTAAAAGAACCTTCATGGTTTCTCTCCTTTCGTGGTCTCCCTTGGAGCCCACCCAAGGCATTCTAAATTGTCTTCATTATCCATTCTTCTATCTCCATCAAGTCACTATGAGTGGTGTACTCAGCATTCTCCATGTTGATAAATAGCTCTTGCTAAAGTCGCTTGTCAATTAGGGCTTGTCTTATTATTAGTGGCATCAATCCACATCACCGCATCTAAGAGGATGCTGGATCCAATTATGTTCATGGGTGACATTTGACTTTACTAGTAGGTCTAACTGGCGAGCTAATGAGTCAAAACCTATTTGGGAATGGAGATTAGGAAGAAAACTAGAGATGAAGAGAGAATCTATATAAAGCTAAAGAAATCTATGAGTCTTAAACCAGTATGAGATCTACTAAAATCAGCTAAAAGTCCCAAACTACTCTTTATCACATCTTATTTATAGGATTTTGAGGTTTACAAGAAAGACTACACAAAAAAAGTACAATGTTGCACAAAATACTTATATAATGCTACAAAAAAATATCCTAGACATGTGTCATCCTTTAATTGGCTGAAAAGAGGGCATAGTCGGAAAGGCTCCAGCAAGTGGTCTCTGAACAAGTTTAGCAATGTCAAGTAAGCTGGGTCGAGTTTGTAGGCAAGTGCTGAGATAAGGCGATCTGAGAGAAACAAGCTTATTGATGTCATCGGCGACTCCTATGAGAGATCTTAGGTCACATGGGAAGAGAGAGACGAGAGAGATGTTGCAGTGAGATGAGCTAAGCGGTCTCGTAGATAGGGGCTTTCTTGTAGCTAAGCTTGACGATCCTTTGTAAGGATGATCACTCTTGAAGAGAGAAAGTAATTGAGATGGTCCAAGTACGTGGTGAGTATCGAGCTGCTGGTTGGATGACAAATCTCTAATCTGCCCTGTAAAAAGGGGAGCTCCTTGGTGGGCTCGAGCAAATAGCACCTATTGATCACACTAGGAGAGTTCTTTTGCAAGTTCCAAGCGAATAGCACCTCTAAAGTCATTAAGTGAGTCACACTGTGGGCCCCTTTGAGAACGAGCTCCTCTATCATGATCAGTCGGGTACCTGTTAAATACCTATGAAGACATATTCGAGTGCACACAAGTAACACATCCATTATAATACAATGCACAACCAACATGCTTCCAAGAGGATCGCCTCAATAAGAGAGCTGATACTTAATGAACCAACTTTCTAGTTGATTTAATACAAATCTGAGCTCATTACTTAGATCCAGATCAGATTAAGCTTTTTTGGAAACCAAGAGGGGCAAATCTGTCCTAAGCATGAACATTGAAGACGCTACCCAACTTGCACAACTATCATTAAAGCAGATTCATATTGCCATGCGTAAGAATTCAATGCACACACAGAAAATGATAGAAAATGCAAGTTTATAGGATAAATAAAAAATGCCAAACCGAATAGCACATAGTCAGCTAACCTTTCTGTATAAGGTTGAAAGATCAGCCTCCTCGAAAGGAAGATAGCCAGCCATCAAAACATAAAGTATGACTCCACATGACCACACATCGGCAGCAGAACCAACATAACCTTGGTGGCTGAGTACCTACAATAGGTAAATGCCTTTTATTGACCTTTAAAAAATACTCAACTACAGTTTCCTTGCCAAGATGTCAATCAAATCAGACATTCATGATATCAAAACTACTGAAAGACTGAATCATGCCATCATCTAACCCAAAGTGTCCATAAATATCAATTATTCATTGCAAAAGAAGATACTCAGAACTGGTAGATGAACCTGGAAAGTAAACTGGTGCTAAGAAGTACCTCAGGTGCAACATAATTTGGCGTACCACATGTTGTATGAAGAAGGCCAACCCCCTAAAGCCAAAAACAGAGGAGCATAACAAAAAATAAATTAGAGAAAAATGGAACATTTCAATATGTCGAAGCATAGTTTTCCTGCGGATTAATAAACTTGAAAAGAAAAATAAAATAACTGAAACTTACCTGCTGAGGCAATGCACTTAGGCCAAAATCTGAAATTTTCAAGTTCCCTTGGGAATCAAGAAGAAGGTTCTCAGGCTACACATTTAACTTAGAATTTAGTAGTTCAAAGAACTACGCCAAAGTGCAAGGCAAACCAAATACACAAGAAAACTAGCAACCTTCAAATCCCTGTGGAAGACACCCCTACTATGACAATAATCAACCGCATCGATAAGTTGCTGAAAATATTGCCTGGTTTCATTCTCAGGAAGCTTTCCTTGGTGAACCTGAAGATTTTGAAATGCAATTAACACAATATTATTTGAAAGGGAACAAATGACATTCACTTAACTACTTAATCTAATGCAGGAAAGCAGGGCAACAAATAACTTCTAAATGAAACAATGCATAAGTAAATGAATGCATATGCAAATGAATGCATCTATTTATGCATGGGAAAAAATGAAAATTCTGTACACCAAGAAAGAGAAATTTAACGACCATATTTCAAATAAAATCATAACAAATGATTTATAGCGCCGAATCTGCAGCAGATGTTAGCAAATTTCCAACAGCACAAAACTGTAGACAATCAGAGCATCAAAATCTTTATACCATCAAAAATTAGAGACTAGTAACATACAAGATGCTTAATCACAAATAGTTCACTTGAAAATGATTCAAATCAAGACAATGCTCAACTTACGGATAGATTTTACTTCTAAAGATGCAAGTACTTTTAATGTTCACAATTCAACTCCAGACTTTTAAACATTCGAATATGGGAAACTCCGGTTGTTGATTAACGGGAATGAAGAAGTAGCGTGCTAAAAAGAATTAAGATGGAGCTCTCTCCCATTCATACATCCTTTGCAAAAAGTTATTTAAGCTTCATAAATATACACTCCCAATAAGACATTGAAACGTTTAATGAATCATGGTCAGACAAAATATCGACAAGAAAAGAGAGATGCACAGACATGACCAACCCAAGGAAAAAGGTCATTGTTAACCTCTACATGTGTCCACAAGCCGACTCAATGGAATGGAATGACAGTAGCAGGTAACAGATACAATGTCATGAGAAATCAAGTTGACTGCCCCAATACATATGGAATGTTGGAAAAAAAATAGTTAAGAGGTAGAATAAATTTTCTGCGGAGCAAGGCATCCTCACACACATACAGATTTTCTCAAAAAAAAAAAAAAGAGAATAATAATAATGATAATTAAAATAAATTATAATAATAAAAAATTATCATAAATTTTTAAAATAAAAAAATCATTATAACCAATTTAATAAATTTAAAAAATTATGAGGTGAAAAGATAAATTATATATGAAATTAGGTAGTTTCCGACCACCATAAAAAACTTAAATTAAATTAAAAATATAATCCCTCGCAACAGATGCAACCTCACCTCTCCCACTTCAACTCTTCCCAAACTTCCACACATGTGGACGCCCCACCCATACTCTCGTAGTTCCTGCACTCACATAGCACACATTTTGCCAATTCTAGTCGTCAACCCTCTCATAGTTGGTGCCCTCTCTCGCTCTCTCTCTCTCTCTCTCTCTCTCTCTCTCTCTCTCACCCTCTCTCTAACTAGAATATCAAGTATATTCATATCATATCTAAAAGGGATCATTCTAAGCACAAAATGCCCTCACATTCCAAGATAAATCATTCCAGGCTCTTTCAAGATTTCGAACATAAATCAAAGCAAGATCATAGCAAAAGAGGCTTTCATCTAAATCATTATCCTTTATATATTCACCAAAAAAATCTAAAAAAGCAATAAATAGTTGATTTGTGATCAGAGAAGCAACCCAACCATTCTCCACACTAGTTTGGCCAAACCTTACAGACAGTCAACTTCATATCTGTGGGCTCCGAAAATTCAGCCCCGGCCTCCCCGCGCGCTTTTCTTATTCGGCGAGGGAATAATTAATAAATAATAATTAACCATAATTAAAAGAAGTATTAATTATTAAAAATTAACTTTAATTAAAATTAGCTATAATTAATTAAGATTAATTATAATTATTTTAATTAAAATTAATTATTAATAATTATAACATATATAATTAATTAATATAATTACAATTAAAACTAATTATAATTAATTAAAACCAACCCTAATTAAACTTAATTAAGGCACTAATCCTTCCTCTCCCCTTTACCTCTGGCTCGGCAGCTTCACAGGATTCGGCCTAAGAAGGGCGTGAAAGGCAGAGAGTTATCTTCACAGACAGTGAGCTCCCGTTGCCTCTTCCGATCAAAATGTTGAACTTCCGGTCCAACGGGGAGGGGGCGACGAAGGAGCGGAGTCGATCGACCGCGAAGGAGTAAGAGCGAAAGGGAGAAAGTCACGATCGCAGCTAGCGAGCTCCTGTATGGCTTCCGATCAAAATGTCATACTCCCGATCCTATTGAGAGGGCGGAGATCTTCGGAGGAGCAAAGTCGTTCAACGACGAAGGAGCCGAAGCCGAGAGCCCTCCGTTTCGTCTTCTGATCAAAGAGTCGTGACTTCCGATTCGGCAAGAAGGGAAAGTCGTCTCGGCAGCGAAGTCGAACAACCACTGAGGAGTCGGAGAGGGGGAGATCGTGCGAGAGCCAGCGAGAGTGAGAGAGTGAGAGCAGGAGAGGGAAAAATCCAGAGAGCGAGAATGAGAGGCTCGGTCTCATTTTAGTGTCGAGACGATCGTGCATGACGAGACGTCGTCGTGCGAAGACAAACGGAGCACGATGCGATGATTCGAGCGAGATTTCCGCAGTCGTGCGAGTCGGCGCTGAACAGGTACGAAAATTTTTTTTTTTATTTGATTTTGACTGCCGTATACAGGTCAACAATATCAAGTATATTCATATGATTACACCAAAAAATCTCATGTTAATAAAGACGTAGTGAATGTAGCCTAATTGGGCAATCAGCTTAATTGTGATGAAACTACACTATTACAGTTAACCTAAGCACGAATGTTTATCACTAGCTAAGTTGATGAGTTTTGAGCCATAAACCACACTAAATAAAGCACAAAGCCCTCAATCAACTAAAAATTGGCCCTCCGGCAAGCTTCCACACTAGATCTATGAGGCTTTCTTAGATGTTGTAATATGTGTTTATTGAAAATGATCATTTAATCAAGTTGAAACAATTACCTTCATTAAATAAGTAGATCAAGAACCATGATAATTCGAGATAATAGAATCAGATTCAACATTATTCCCCCACCTAAGTAAATAGCATATATCCTACCAATTTGTCAATACTAAGATATAGTGTGGTAGAATCTATTGATTTGTCTTAATCAAAAATTTAATCTCATGATCGAGAAGGGTAATTAATCATAAGGGATCATGTTAATGTGAAACCTCAAAACAAATATGAAGTTCTCATTATGTTAAAAATATTGATTAGTATTTTATCTAATATCTAATCTACCTTCAAAAAATTAAACATGGACCATTTGTAAATAAGAGAGCAAGGTAATCGAAGGAGGCTCTCTAAGAGTAAAAAGAAGCCACTCATCACAGAACCTGATTCAACACCATTCCCCACCCAAGAAACTCTCTCTAATATTATTTGTCAATGGCACTACTATAACTTTTTCACGTATATACTCGTTCGCATTTTGTCTCCAAGAATGAAGCAGCTCATCCACATGAGCATCCTATCTCTGCAACATAGAACTTGATTTTATGCTTTTCTTTTAATGATCAATATTGTGTGCCATAAAATATTGGTCTCACCAAAATCTTACAAAATTTTCTCTTAAGTTTGAGGGGCACTTTTCTATCACACAAAAACCGCTGCAACTCCACTCAACCATCCAACTTGAATTCTACTGATAATATCTTCATCTATTTTACCAGCAATTTGAACAATAAATCCAAGATATCTAAAATATGTACTCTTTTTAATGACTTGATCGCCCAAAGTCACAATCCCCCCCCCCACACTAAATCTATTATTACTAAGATTACACTCCATGTATTCAGTTTTAGATCTACTCAAACAAAAAAATTTAGACTCTCAGGTTGACCTACATAATTCAAGTGTTCCTTTAACTTCCTTTCTAATCTTATCAACAAGAAGAATATCATCAGCAAAATGCATACACTAGAGTACATCCTCTTGCAAATGTCTAATAAGAACATCCATGACTAAAGCAAAAAAATATGGGCTTAAAGTTGATCCTTGATGTAATCCAACTGAAATAGGAAAATACTTGGTCAAATCACATTGTGTTTGAACACAAGTAATAGTCCCTACATACATATTCTTAACGACTTAAATATAAGCATTCTTAACACCTTTCTTTTCTAGAACTCTCCAGGGCACTTCTTTTAGAATTTTATCATATGCTTTCACTAAATCAATAAATATCATATATAGATCCTCCTTATTCTCTCTATACTTTTCCATCAAACCTCTCAATAAATGTATAGCTTCCATAGTAGACCTACCCGACACAAATCCAAATTGATTTTGAAAAATATTAGTATCACGTCATAACCTATTCTCAATAACTCTCTCCCATAGTTTCAATGTATGACACATTAACTTAATTCCTCTATAATTCGTGCAATCTTGTGCATCAATTTATTCTTAAAAATAGGAGCCAACACACTCCTCCACTCATCTAGCATCTTTTTAGTCTTCAAAATAATATTAAAAAATTTTGTAAGCTAAGAAATTCCTTCATGTCCTAAGCATTTCCACACCTTTATTGGAATATCATCAGGTTCAACTTTTCCACACTTTATTTTCTTTAAAGCCTCTCTAACTTCGATTTTACTAATACGATGATAAAAATAAAAATATGTATTTTTTTATTTAGGATGTTAAGATCACTAAAGTCAATCGTATTCTCACAACCCTCATAAACTAAGTAAAATGAAAATCTAAATTTCTCTCAACCCCAAGTCAAATTTCTCGGATGTCAAGAACTTTAGAATACAACCCTCATAAACTTTTGCACCTGTATTGACAAAGCATTAAGTGTTCTCTAGCTTCCCTCAAGTGTTGATTCCAAAGCATCATAATCATGATCAAGAGTTTGGTATATTGAAATGCAATGCCCTCTTATGTTTTAGCATTTGTAAAGTACGGGTGATATCATAATTTGATTATTGAACCCATCTCTCACTTATACATCAAACACCATTCCCCATACAATTGGGTGGATGAGCACACCTTCATTTCTTGGCTGTTATAAATACCAAAAGAAGTTGGAACCACTATCCAATACAATTCCTTTGAATCTATTGTTGTTTATGCACCTACTTACGTCACAGACAAGATGTAGGGCTCCTTACAAAAGCATGCTTTAACTATGAATTTGAACAACATAACAAAGATAAAAAGCATTTTAAAAGCTTAATATGCATTTGTCCAGAATATATAGCATGATTAAAGAAAATGCGATAATTCACAATGAAATTCATTACAAGATGGAAATTCATGAGTTCCTCTGCAAAAGCTTACTAGACACCAAAAGTTTATTTGGATCCGCAAGTAATGATCAAATTCAAATTACGAGAATTAACTGAAATGTAACTCCATAATCAGCAAGGCTTACAATTTTATCAAAGAGTTCTCCTCCAGTGACAAATTCCAGAATGATGTATATCTTTGTGCTGCTAGCCAAAACCTAAAGGCACAATGAGAACAGGTATCAGGTCATGCAAGCTGAAGGAAGATAAAAGTACCTGAGAGACAAGCTAAATCCTATAAATATATTAGTCAAATAATATCGTCAAAGAAAGAAACAATGGATAACACACCTCATGCAGCCTGACAATGTTGGGATGTCTTACGATTTTCATGATGGAAATTTCTCTCCTAATCTGAGAACAAAAAAATAAGTCATATAGGGATTACTGCTGAACGAGAACAAAGTTAGGAACATGCGCACACATGCACAAAATTTAACACGGGCACATGCACAAGCTCATATTATAATAAAGGAAGACATTAAGAAGAAGAGATTCCCTGAACCTGAGGCTGAGTGCATCCATTTCGTGGATGCTAGTGATGTCACTAATGACGAAGAATTCGTTGAGGATGGAACATAAGTGGTTGAATCAGACTCCCAAAATGACTTAAACCCTGAGCTAGGAAAGCTAGAACCTTTAAAAATCGACACCTTAACCCACCCCGATCTTAGTCCCTTTGAGGATAAGTCTTTGGACAAAGTATGCCTGGATGATAGTAATGTGATCTCGAAAGAAGCCAATCGGACTTCGAACACTTTGAGTTTAAATTTGGAAGATCATGATTTAGTTGTATCACCTACTGAGTTGACTTTGAGTAATTGTGATGATAATAATATCGAGTAGGAAGTGGCTCAACTAAACTTACTACCTAATTTAACTCACGATTTAATTGACCCTGAACCCAGTTATCCTGATAGTACTATGAGTTCGGAAGATAATGATTTGATTCTGAAAGCTTTTAATCCTGATTTGAACAATGAGCCTCCTCTTGTTGCTTTAGAACCTAATTTTAGAGCCGCTCATTTAGATTTACATTTAGCAGAGTGTGTCATTCCTGATTCATACATTTTGCCCGTTATCGCCTCATCCTACCAGGATAAGGACCACTTCTATCCTAGTTGGATGAATTTGTTCGATGACACTACCCCCACTAGGAGACTGCTATCGACCCTAACTGAAACTACCTATAGAAGTGCCCTGGTAGCTAAGAGTGTCTTCATTCCTCCCCATACACCAGTTCCCTTAGACCGAACACTTTAAAACCCCTCTTTGTGACTCCTCCACCTTTTCTAGCTATATGTTCGTGTGAGTTAGTATGTTGTGTGTGTTGTAGTCTGTTGTCTTCCTAATGTGTCTATGCTTAAAACTTTGTTTGTAAGCTCATGAGTCTTCTCATTCATCATGCACACCCGATCTCTTGCATTTGCATCTGCATTTCACCTTCAGGAGTTACTCAACGAAATTAAAAAGAAAATTGAACAAAGTAATACCCATTTTAAAATTATTGCTGATAACAAAAGAAGGTTCAAAGAATTCAAAGTTGGAGACTTTGTGATGGTACGGGTCCGTCTGGAGCATTTTTTCCGGGCACCGTAAAGAAGCTGCATGCTCGAAACACCGGACCATTTAAGATAATATCAAAGGTTAATAGTAATGCCTACGTACTGGACCTCTCTTGAGGCTTTAACTTGAATCCTACATTTAATATAGAAGACCTAATAACCTTGGAAGGACCTGAATTTTAACACCAAAATCCACTCCTTAAATCAGCCTTGTGTGACCCCACCTGGTGAGATCCCCAACCCATCTCCACTCCCCAATTTACCTTACTCACCTATAGCGGAGACGATCAAAGCAATACTAGATGATGAAGTCATTTTCCACAAAGGAAGGTGGGCGCCGAAGATACCTAGTTCATAGGAAAGGGACACCGGAGATAGAGGATACTTGGATTAACAGGAACGAGCTACAGAGCCTAGACCCAGATCTCCTAGAGTTATACGAGGGCTCCATAGATATCTACTCGACGGGGTCGAGTTTTCTCCCACCTGGGGAGAATGATGAGGACATCGTCAGCGATTTCGACACATGTACCATCAGGAGATGCCGGAGATCGACGGCCACGATCATGAGTTGTATTTTTGTCATTTTATGTAGTAGTTTATTTTATTTTATTTTTATGTTTTTTCGCTTTTGCCCTTGTGGGTATTTAGTCGCTATTGTAGCCCAAGGGGCATTTTAGTCTTTTATTTTCTTTGTCTTTTGGTGGCCTATATATATGGCCCTTTTCTCATGTAATAGAAGTTCTCTTTGTGAGTGTACTTCTCCTAGATCTCTTAGTGAGTTCGACGGAGAAACTAGATCTCTTTGTGAGTTATAGATTTCGTCCAAGTTTATTGTGTGAAGATCCGATTTTGAAGATAAAAGAGGTGAGTGAAATCATAGCAATGCAAATCCTCAGATTTTTTTTACCTCCTCCCTTCCCCTCATATTGTTGCTGCCGACCCCTTGGAGCCGTCCAAGCCGCCGGCCTGCAAAGCCCACCCGCCGGCCTACAAAGCCCCTCCCGCCGGCTAGCCCTCCGCCCAGCAGCCCACCGGCCTCCTGCAAGACCCCTTGCCGCCGGCCACCCATGAGCCCCTACCGCCTGCCCCCTCTCTCCCTCCTTGAATTTTGAATTTCCCTCCCTTAATGACTTTCCTAATTAAGTCAAATTAAATTAGAGAATTAATTAAGGGAAGTTACACTCTTCTGAAATTCAAATTCCCTCCTAATTTTAATTAAAATTAGGGAGTTACATGAGACAATTAAAATCCGAAATTAAAAATCAGATTTTGATTAATTACTAGTGGTCCCCACCTACTTAAATCTCAAACCTCTCCCTTCTCTACATGGCCGGCCCTCCCTCCTCTCTCTCCCCTTTTAATTTTCTTTTATTACTTCCTTAATCCCTTTCCTCATAAATTAATTTCAATTTCAAATTTTGAAAACTGAAATTAATCCCTCCTCACTTTTGGAAATCTGATCTAAAATTCAGATTTTAGTTTTTCCCCTCATAACCTCACCCACCCCCTCTCTCTCCTCCAAACCGTGACTCCTCCCTCTCTCATCCTGAGTACTCATTCAACCCTTGGCGAGGATGCATGGCTGAGCCGAACTTTGGATTTGTGTATGATGACCAAGATCAAATTAACATCCTCCAATCACCGTTCTTTGACGTGGGCTTCGATTTCGACGATACCATTGAAGATTACATCGACCGTATCCATTACACCTTAGTGGATGTGATCGACAAGCAAAGAACAAAGGGACGTTGGATCATCCTTGGACGACCGTCATCCTCCACCACTTCGGCCACCTATCCAAGAACGACGATCTTAGGCTCCTTCTTCCTCGGAGTGACCTCGGTTCTAATGTGGAGACTCTTCTTCCGCTAAAGTCTAGACTACTAGTTGAGCGTATGGGCTCCAAAGGTGAAAGTTCTCTTTATTAAATCGCGGATTCTTGTTTATCGTCGTAGTTTTACAATTGATCTTGTCATTTTCTTAAATTGTTTGGTTAACCGACTTCGCTCTTCTTTGCCTAAGCAAGTTAAAAACTAAAAATTCTCAGGATCAATTATTGTTATAAGTAATAAATTTATTTTGGGATTATTTTGTTAAATCTGCTCTCTTTAATTTCCTCGAGTAACTCCTGATTGTTTCACATCAAATCCAATAAAACATAAATCCATAAAAGATGACTTTTATCGAATACTGCCAAAATAAAAAAGAGTAAAAATGCTATTCTTCAATCAATAAAAAATTTATAGTTTCTTGGATGTAACATTCCTTGAAAACCAACTTTACTACTCCATATCTGAAATTCAAGGAAAGGAAGTTCGAGAACAAAAATTTTAAGGACAGAACTTATTTCATCACCTACGATCCTCTCCCATCAAACCCACAAGCAACAACCATTTCCCATTGCACCTATTGCATTGCACCTACCAACCAAATCCTTATTAGAATAGCAAATTCCTTAATTACATTGTCAAAACACAACCTATGCAAATGAGCTAAAAAGAAAAACCGAAAAGGGAAGTAATCAACATATCCCAAAACACACCCAAGAACCCAAATCATGTTTCAAGGATACATAAAATACAAACTAATGAGGATAAATTCATAAATAATGATACTGATCTCCAATTCCTTATTGCCTTAAAAGCGTAAAGGTCATTCACAAAAACACAATCTATGATTTCGAGACTTACAAAGGAATTTCATCTGGATTTTGTGTTTTTTCCACTTCTCTTGATAAACTAGACATTTCCAGCAATGTTCATGAAGCTCTCAAATAATGATTGAAACAAGCCTGTAATGATCTAAGTCATAGAAAAGAATGATACGTCGGAAGTTTGTGAACTTGGAAGAAAATTAATTTGAACCAAACGGATCTTTATAGTCAAATATAAAGCAAATGGAAACGTGAATAAATTTAAACCCCGACTTGTTGCCAAAAAATACACCCAAACCTATGGTAATGAGTACTGACTATCAAGAAGCCTTTTCTCATGTTGCAAACTCAACACAACTTGAGTTTTGCTCTTTCTAAAGATAAATTGTAATGACCTATTCATCAACTTGATTTTAACAATGCTTGTCTTAACGAGGACTTTGAAGAGAAATTATAAATGGAGAATCCACATAGATTTTAAAAAAAAAGAAATACCAATAAGACATTCAAATGCATAAAAGCTCTATATAGCCTCAAACAATCTCTCATGCCTAGTTTGGCATATTCTTCAAATATGTTGAAAAGTGTGAGCACACTTAGTGCAAGCTGATCACACTATCTTTACAAAGCTCTCACCACATATGAAAAAAATCAGTATTCTAACCACATATGTATACAATATTATATTTGCACATGATTTCGATGAAGAGCTAACCAAATTAACAACATACTTGCTTGGTATGAAAGTGGCATAATTAAAATAAGGTATCGTTATTTCCCAAATGAACTATATTCTTGGTTTACTTCAAGAAACATAAATGTAGATCACTTAGCAAGAAATTAAGTATTACTTGGCATTCTCATTGATGAAGTTAGGTAACAAGACCTTGTGCGATTAAATCATTTACCTCTCTCCCACCCCTCATGTATTTAATTCCATGTTGGTGTTGTAAACCAACACATGAGCAAGAAGACCACATAGAAAGCTATTAACCACATTCTATGGCACTTTAAAACGGTACAAAGAAATGACGTGTTATATAGAAAGTCATCCAATAAGTTAAAATTTTCACAGATATTGACTGAGTGGGAGACGCATCAAATTTAAGTTCCCCCTCAGACTATTGTCCTCA